CATGAAAATATGTGGCATTTTATGATGTTTCGTGAAAATATATACCATATTTCACGAAAAACGAAAAAATAACCTTTTTATTTAATTTAATTATCAAAGAAAAATGGTTACGAACCCCCTTGCTTGCTACGCAACTGCAATTGTACAGCGAGCAGTAATATAGATGCGTCTTGTTTTGCACGCGATATGTGGCGCTATATTGTGACGTCACGTAAACAACCCTTTAAACGCCTGAACAGCGTTAATGACTGAATTAAAGATATTGGTTTCGGATTTATTTTCTTAGTTAGACCATTTTCTATCATTCTAGATAGTTTTCAAAACGAAATTCAACAAAAAGTTGCTTTGTATATATCAGATTTTTCAAACAAAATGGCGAAAGAAGTCCCTTTGAATAAATATGAGTTTTGACTCCGCCCACTTTCACCATATTTCATGGGTAAAATTAAATAAATATAGGATATTGAATGAGTGTAAGTTCAATACTAAAATTATTGCACGAGTTGAATAAAAATTATATTATGCGAGCCTCTGGCGAGCATAATATAATTTAATTCAACGAGTGCAATAAATTCAGTAATGAACTTACACGAATTTAATATTCTATTTATCACATACCCAAAATAAAGACCGTTTAAAGTGCAATAAGAGTCATTAATTTTTTCATTGACGCGCCTATAGTTTAACGCTAACATTTAGCGCGTCTTTACACTATGTTTGTATAACGCTAATGACGTCACGTCAAAATATATGCACAGCCGTGCAATACCATATTTACGGAGTCGCAAAATCGGCACGGGTGTGTGATAAAGCACCTTATTATATACCTATAAATTTTCTCCTAAAATACACGCAAATATTGAAGCGCAAATACGCTTCAACGGATAGAAATTTCCGTATTATGTTAGTGACAAATACGGTACCATATATGGAAGTGCCGGACTATTTTTGACGTTGGTTCCGATCTTAGCTTTGTATAACGTTGCATTTGAAAACGGGAACCAAAATTATTAAAGGCGTGGCCGGTTTGCAAGAATTACGTATTCATCCGTCAGTCATGAATTTATTTCTTGACAACTACATTTCATTTTCTGAATAAAACGAAAAGGTATATGATAAAAGGAAAATTATGTTATAGTAGCTTTCTGAGACTATGTATTTGTCTACTCGCAACGTTGGAAAATTGATATCTCGCTCGACCTTCGGTCTCGCGGGATATCAATTTTCCACCGCTGCTCGTAGAAAAATACAAAGCCTCAGAAAGCTACTACAACATAATATTCCGTATATATTTCATGGATAAAATTAAATAATAAAAGATATTTGTTCGTCCATATGATCTTGTTAAATTTCAATATTTCTATGTTTCTAGATGGTAACATAGATCTACTATGACACATTTCTTTATGTCCTCTCTCATACAAATTTTCGCAGACTTAATTTTGATATAATTTGATCGTTTTATGCCGGCTCGCCACGGCGAGCCGGTATTACGGTAGGATTTTACTGAGAAACAACCTAAAACTCCGAATCCATCCAAAAATTCAATCGAAGCTTGGCTTCCAGCTTTCTACAGAATTTATCTATCAGGGCTAGGATCAAAAATTATTTAACCAATCAAATTTTATCTTACATAGCGTCAAAAAACCTTCAATTTTCACGCCATTTTTAAAAAGCAGCAAGTATTATTTTGAGCGCAAAGATATACTGATGATTAAAATGTTTGTTTTCATGAATTCTTTTCAATAAATCATATTTACACTGACTTTTGATTTAGCGATCTCACCTAGCTGTTCCTCTGTAGTAAGTTTTCGTTTGGTTAATTAACATAAGTGTACATCTGGTTCTGTGCATTTTTTTTCTTTTTCCTTTTTTCCGGTCATTTTATCTTTTCCGGTATTTATAGTGTATATATTTACTGGCCGGGATCCGGGACGCCCGGACTGGCTGGGACTGGGACTGGCCGGGATCCGGGATCGTATAAGATATAAAGGAAAAACAAATACACTATATTTGTGTTGATTATTGTCGTAATGAAAGGCCATTAAACGTTAAGTTTTTTTTTATTGTATGTAATGAACGTTAAATTAATTAAACTTAGGATATAAATATATTTAGAGCTATTTATTAACAAACTTAAAATGCGGAAATCACAATACTTATAATTATATGCCGAATTAATTGGAAAAATCAAAGACTACGTTCTTGAATTGGTCAAATCTCGGGATCCCTTTATGTTTTAATGCGATCCCAGCTTTTCTGAAAACTATATTCTTGAACTGGCCAATTCCTGGGATCTCTTTATATTTTAATACGATCCCGGCTTTTCTGAAAACTATATTCTCTAACTGGTCAATTCCCGGGATCCCTATATGTTTTAATAGGATCCCGGCTTATCTGAAAAACATCTTAGACTGGTCAATTTCCGGGATCCCTATATTTTTAATAGGATCCCGGCTTTTCTGGCTGAATTGATTGACAACATGTGTTTACTTTAGGACTTGTGTCTGTCACTCATTCCAATACTAAATAATATATTACAACTGAACTTCGTATAAAAAGACATCTAAAAGTATGAATTCTACCTATCTAACACTTATTTGGTCAAGGTCAACAGGTCATACAGTAAATGTGCATAGACATAGGGACTTCATTTTATCTGTTTACATGCATCTTCATATATACTCATATTCCTCTTTGTTAAACTGAGAGAACTGGCTTCCATCACTTTTATTTTGATGTTCGCTCAAGTCTCTTCAGCTAACAGAACTGTCATTTTTACATTTAAACGCACCCCTGGAAAAAAATTACGAAGCGAGTCGCTACTAGCTTTTTTAAAAGCTAACCTTGTTACGAGTTACAGTACATTGTATGTAACGTGAAATGTGGTAACGCGTGGTGTCGCGCCAATCCTTGAAATAGATTTATTACCATTAAAATGTGTTTTTGTTGTAGTGTTTTTTACAAACTTACAAATAAACCTATATAATTCCGACCCAAACCGTCGTTGTTATTGTTTTCTGGGTGTTTAGACGAGACTTTATTGGAAGTTTAGTGCGTTCTTGACTTTAAGGTATTCTTGTGGGGTTCACAAAGAAACCGCGCGGTTACCTAACCACAATATATACCGCGCGGTAATTAACTTACCGTGGTATATTTTGAAGTGACGGAGTATAGCAACATAAGATAGTCATCACCAACATGAATACTAGTATGTTGTGCCATCAGAAAGTACCCATAGTGTTGGGGAAAAAAACAACAGAAATGTTTTACATTATCTTTCATGGGAGGTCGACTTTAAAAAACAATGACTAGTTGCATGCGAAGTAAAAAACCATAGTTTATCTTCATTGTCGGTAAAATCACCATACATGTAATAAACACGCTGTAAAGTCATCCTATACATAGTACGTGTATGGCGTGTTCAAGGTCTTCCTTATTGTGGCTGATTTGGTATGCTTTTGTTGGCGCTAGCGACAACACGACAAAGCGCCAAACTACGCATTGTCGCACTGTCGTCTTGTCGTCCTGTCGCTAGCGACAACACGTCAAAGCGCCAAACGGCTCGTTGTCGCACTGTCGTCCTGTCTTTAGCGCGACACGCCAAACGGCACGTTGTCATGCGGCGCGTTGTCGCGATGTCGTCCTGTCGCTTGGCTTATAAGCCAATCCTTCAACTTGAACCTAGCGACAATGTGACATCGCGACAACACGCCGCACGACAACGCGCCGTTTGGCGCTTAGTCGTGTTGTCGCTAGTGCAACGAGACGCACAAAAGCGTACCGAATCAGCCACCATAGTTCCTATCGTGACTAGCCCAGGACACCATGCTCAAGAATACGGCATACCGTTAGGGCCATCGTGGTTATACGTTAAAATACAGAGGGCGACAATGCGATAGTGCGACGGTGCGATGACGACAAATCGACAGTGCGATGACGACAATGCGACAGTGCGATGACGACAATGCGACAGTGCGATGGCGACAATGCGATAACGCGATAGTACGATGACGACAAAGCGAAAGTGTTATCGTGAGCTTATTCGCCAGCTGTTTAGAACCGTCCACCAGAAGGCGAGAGTCGACAATGCGATAACACGATGACGACAGTGCGATGACGACAGTGCGACAATGCGATGACGACAGTACGACAATGCGATGACGACAATGCGACAGTGCGATGGCGACAGTGCGATAACACTATCGCTCTGTCGTCATCGTACTATCGCGTTATCGCATTGTCGCCATCGCACTGTCGCATTGTCGTCATCGCACTGTCGCATTGTCGTCATCGCACTGTCGCATTGTCGCCCTCTGTATTTTAACGTATAACCACGATGGCCCTAACGGTATTCCGTACAAGAACGCCAAGCCTCGGCATTTCTTTTGTTCATTGAAAAGTTAATGGGGTCCTCGTGGCGTTCTCACTCTACGGCGTCCATGGCGGTGCCACTGCGACTTTCTTTGAAGAAGTATTTTATAATGCATGTCATTTCATCCACAACGGCTTTATAACAAGCCAACACATTTTCATAGCGAGACATGTATGCATGTTACGCATACTCTGAATGTATTCATGCTTTATTAAAATTAATATTTTATATGTATACAATCTTTACTTACCTAGCACACACTTTGCTCGATCATTTATACTTGTCTTCGTCAAATTCCATGTTACAATAATTTTCTAAATATGTCCTTATTTCAGAGAAAGTCCTGCTGTATAACACTGAAGTAACTGAAATGAAACAGCCTATTTAGAAACCGTGATTAAAAAATAACTTCAAATATGAAAAAGTAGAAATTACATTGTAAGTGGGAAGTCAATTAAAATAAATGTGATTCAGCCAACAACAAAAAATGAGAAGAGATTTAAATTACATATATAGAGAAATATTTCAATAACGTCGTCTGCTTTAAAGGGAAATTTTGATAAAAACAACATAAATCATGGATTTCTCGTGCAGTCATGCGTTACATAATTCATATTTTCCGTGCAGTACCTGCAGGGTTTCTGTAAACAACTTCCACGCGGGGAGCCTTATAAGGTAATTTAAGATTGATTTTCTTTGTGGGAAATATGAAAATAAAATGCTTCATGCAAAATTTCACACTCCTCAGATAACATTTTCAGTTTTCCGGGCAAAGTGTTGAACGTGTTTGTTGCTTGTGATATTCTAGAATTGTAACCGTCCAAACATGTTCTTGCTTGCATATTTCCACTTGAAATTGGGGCATCCGTGACCGAGTGGTTAAGGTCGTTCACTTCAAAGCACCTGCCCCTCATAGCTGTGAATTCGAATCCCGACAGGGATTTGGATTTGTTTTTATTTTGGACTGTTTCATGTGAGGAAGCTATCCAGCTAGCTTACGGAACGCCGGTGGTTCTACTCAGGTGCCCGTTTGTGCCTTAAATAATGCTCGGAAGGAACACTGAGGTCTTTCTCGGAACGTCGCATTATGACCTATACTGTGGTGGTGTGACGTAAAACCCAAATAAACAAACAAACCATATGAAACTGTTTCTATAGTAAGATATCTGATAACATTTACTTCCCTTGTTTACAATTTCATTCATTTGGTATTTTACTGGTTATTATATTTATTCAAGAAATGGTAAGAACATATAAACATAGCAAGGGTTCGAAAAGCATATGTTGAATTTGAAAACAAGAACGTTAATTACAAAATGGGGTACAGAAAGACAAACAGACAGACAAACAAACTGCAATCTAAGTGTATCTTTTTTCTTGAAAAACTGTGTGCTAACTGACTAGGCCGATGCATGTACTCTATGGAAATAGTAAAGAAGTTAAAAAAAATCTTTTGAACGACAAGACTGTTGACAGACCAATGACCCGTACCGACTGCCCCACCGTGACAGACCAATGACCCGTACCGACTGCCCCACCGTGACAGACCAATGACCCGTACCGACTCCCCCACCGTGACAGACCAATGACCAGAACCGACTGCCCCACCGAAAGGATGGATGGACCATTATTTAGCTTGAACGAACATAGCTGAATTGGAAATATTGTACTGTAAACCAAACTATTATTTGGCGATGCCTGATTTCCCATCTGCAACATCATTAGTCATAACATAGTCATTCTAAATCAAAGAAAATTTAAGATTGTTAAGTGGGTGTGAAACTTTAATTTGATATATAAAACCACAGTTTACTGCAATATTTCGAGAGTAAAGATGAAAACGCTATTATATAGATTACATAAATTGATATACAAAATGTACAGCTCTTGCATTTCTACGTATTAAATTTAAAGATGAAACAGAAAATATTACATAGTTAAACATTGACAATATTTCGCTATAAAGGTGAAAATGTACACTTAATTTCATATGTACATGAACTTACAAACCAAATTGAAACTAATATTCACTTACTTGTCTATGTGAAGTAGCCGTCTCGTACTTCGTATTAAAATTTAATCACACGTGAATTTTGTGAAATAAAATCGCACGTGCTTATGTGAAATAAAATCACACGTGCCCTTTATTAAAATGAAATCACATATTTTCTTACACAGTCTAAATATGAACATTTGAGCGTTTCCCCACAAGACGTTCTGACCCAGCAGAAAGCTTTTAAATCAAGACACAGTTTATCCACAATCGCTTGAAGGTCGAAATATAAGTATTTTAATTCAAATAAAAAATATCATAAAAATACGGTAGAGCTTTGACCTTTTTTTTTAAAGTTTCTGGTCAATTCCTTGACGAGACACTGACACTTATCGGTTTTAAATTTTAAAATCATGGCCGTTTGTTGAATATTTGTTTATTTTATTAAAATGTTGCGTATTTAACCATAAAATGTGGCTTAATACCATGTACAAATTGATAATTAATGGAATTTTGACAAGGGATTTAAATAAAAATATTCAACAAGTCGAGGTTTTTATCACTGTTAAGTTATATGTAGGATTAGAAAGATGTGGTTTAAACAAACTTAAAACAAAATCAATTTTTCCTAATGTCGTGTCAACTAACTGTGACATTAAGTTAATTTTATTGCATTGAAATATTTACTCCAAGAATGTGATTTTTACAGATATCCAGGGTCTTTCAAAGACCCTGAGATATCCTAACTTATTTTGGGTGTTTGAAAATAATTTACAGGCCCGTTGTGTCCATGGAATGCTTTTTTTTTCATTTCACAGAATCATTTTATTTTTAATGTTTTGTTATAATTTCCAAACAATAATTATTACTCATAGACAATATGAACTCATGGACAATCATTTGCTCCTGTCGCTTTTTAGCAATTACAGTTAAGTCAGTTAAAGTCATTTAGTATATTGTTACTACTTTGTTTACATTTTGCTACTTTTATGACATATTCATTTCTTCTGGTGATAAGCATCTAACATTCTAGAAAAGCCACCGTTCAGATGTTATAAAACTCATGTTTGCCTTTGCTGAGGAAGGAAAAAATATTTGTTTCTGAAGCATAATGTGCCTGAAATAATAAAATTTTAACTAATATAATCACACGTATAACTTAACAGTTTTTGCTTTGAATATTGTTTAGTCTACATTGAAAAAAGTATGAACGTCACTATTTTATGAACAACTGACGTCATAACGTACGTCAGAAATAAATCACGTGACAACCAAGGAAACAACGTAACTAACATCCATATTAAACGTTCTACGCGAATATAATAATAATAATTGGATGATAAATGAACTAGAAGTTTACTAGAAGGCTTGTTGTTATGCAAAGTGTAAGTTTATTTGCTACTTTGTCACTGACCGTATCATAGTATCAGTAAAGGAGCATGATACAATATTGAAACTAATATTTATGTATAATTACAGGTACCTGAAAGAGACTTTGACGAAGACGAAGAAGTCCGCTTAATTTTGCGAAGAAAGGTCAAAAATGACGTCTGCTTGTGTAAGAAATACGGTATGTATAAAACATAGGTTGTATCACTAAATAAATTCCTGGCATCTGTACGCAACGCAATAGCGGGTTTTCTAAGTGTTCAAAGTAAGAGTCTCCTATTGTTATATGTCAGTAAATGTATGTGTCGGTGCCTAGTTGCGGCAGTGGGCATAGTAACCAACTGACTTACATTATACAATGCTACTTTATTGAAATAACGCGCTAAAAGCTTTAGTACATGTATAATACCCCATACAGTCTCAACATAATGATAACTTTCTTCTTAAGTCAATAGGTAAAGGCTCCATTTAGTGTAGTCTTTTGAAAGTGACCTTTCAAATTTCGGACCCACAATATTTGTATACGAGGCCATGCTGCCGTCATAGTGTCTTCACTTAAATGTCCAATCATTATTTTCATCGTATAGATTATAAAAAAAACCCAAGGGGTGTCACCTGTAAAAAAACCTGCTTGTTATCACAAAGTAAAAATAGACTAAAGTAACTAAAGATGAGGAGACCATTGTCCAAAATTGGCAATGGTTAAACTTTAAGTGTCACTGGCATACAGCCCCTCTCAATAAATCATCATTGTGCTATAATTATTAACATTTTAAGCGCAAGTATCGAAAGAAAGATAGGTAATTAATGATAATTACATATATACATTTTGGAATGATTCTTTGCAAAATTTATATGTATTTTAGCTGCTGCCCTTTTTGGTGTCCTTTTGGCTGCCTTAGGCTTAGCAGATTTGACCTTCTTCGATTATTTGGCACCTTCCTTGTGCTTAGCTGCTGTGGCCTTCTTTGGTGTTTTAACCTTATTGGCCTTGGCCTTCTTGGTGTCTCTGCCTTCTTGTATTGCTCAAATATTACAATTGTTTTTATGCTGGACAAATTACAAATTATATTATTTCTTTATTGTCTGTACAGGTAAAATTGTAAATGGGAAAGCGTGTCCATTCTGCTGCAATAGCAATGACCAGGGAGAACCAAGGAAGATAAAAGTAAAGAAGTCTCGAATACCTACCGGAAACTATGGTCGAACCGGAAGTCTTGCAAAACCGGATCTGATCACGATACCGGAAAATGACACTTTGTGCCATGAGCCTGAAGAGCTTTTAAAGAATGTTGTTATTAAAACCAATATCAAAACTAAAACCTTCATAATGCAGTTAAAAAAAGCTCTGGAAGTTACAATTAAAAACGATTCAGATGCCACTAAAAATGAAGGCTCAGATATTCTAAAACACGTAGACACAGTAACACGTGGTGCAAGCTTGCTCCAGAAGTCGAATAAACAGAACAGCTATGGTACATTCAAAGAACATCCTAAATCTAAAAAATGCTCCGTTGCAAAATGCGACGATCTATTGGCCTCCCAAAAAGCCTGCTGTTCTAACAATAATACCAAAGAATCACGTGATCTTAAGACTAGTGAAAATGAAAGCATCAGTTCTGAACTGAACGAACTTCCTTTCACAAGCACACAAAAACCTGTACTTATACCAGCACAAGAATTTATTGGACGGTATTTTACACCGTCCAAAACGAATGGACAATCTGTCTTAAATAGAACACAGGAACTTGAAACTTCCGGCTCTAAAACTGAAAGTTATGTAAATGGTGAAGAAGGCCGTGTTGCCAACGCAACGGACGATCAAAAGATTACTGATGGTTTATATGAACTCTCTATCAATATCTGCTCAGATCAGAATCATACGGATAATGAAAAACGATGCTTTCAATAAACGTTGAAATAAATATAAATGTACATTAAGCATTTTGTTTTCTGAATTTAAAAGCATTGTTTTATCATTTTTATAAAAAGCTATGCACTTAAAGATGTTTTTTGTTCACTAAAAAAAAAACATTAACTGCAAGTATGAATATTGTTGAGGTATTATCTATATCTGAGACAAGCTTGGCCGATATGACAATGACCCAGTAAGACTTCGTATGTGGTCGGTCCTCGCGCTGAGCTACATTACATGTTAAATAAATCTCTGGTCCTCCTGGAATCATCTCTTAGAGGGTCTTTAAACGCTTGCATCTATCTCTTGTAAATAAGGTTATGTTAAGTCAGGTATCGCTAGATGATAGGTTGATGATCCTTTATGACTTTAAAGTTTGTTTAGTCACTTACTTAAAATTCAACACTTTCACAGATTTTGATTTTGCAGAATGTTTGTTTAAAGGTGCACATATAACAAAATAACAAATAACATAATTTAGCGTTCATAATGTATCCATTGCAAAATAAATGTTTATTCCTTAGAATGGTGAATACTGTATTTTGTCAGAAATCGAATTATAAACGGGAACTAGACTGATAAATGGGATGAACTTTTTACTAGGAAACAAATCATTTAAATCTAAGCTAATAACATGACAAAATACATTACCTCAGAGAGTCTCTTTTTGAGAAAAATGAGAGCCACGCGTGTGTATAATAAGAAATACTTGTTCATTCTTTATTGATTTTCGAACTTTAAGTGTTTTTTTTTATTTTAGTAGAAATCAAAGAATAATATGGTTTTATTTTATGAAAACTTGTCAAGTAGGATCATGGATATATTAACGTGACATTTCCGCGGGTAAAGGGAGGTAAATGTAGTTTTACAGCGCATGCGCACAATGTATTTACAAACATTTCCGCTATGAAACAAACACGTGAATTTTGCAATATTTTGATTGTTACGGCTCCGACATGTCAGTTTATCATGATGAAGTTGAAATAGAAGATATGGAATATGATGAGGAAACTGAAACTTACTATTATCCATGTCCGTGTGGTGACAGATTTGAAATAACAAAAGTATTTTTACAATTTGTCTTTGTTTATTTTGTGGGAGGGGTAAACTACAGTACAGATATTGTTTGTTTTCTCTGTTAATAGTCTCATTGTAAGTCTTTTTAAGTTATGACATTTACTACGATAATATAATAACAGATCTGTGACTTTGTTGTAACCAGGAAAGTAAGACTAAGTCTAAGGTCTCTTTCCTGATTTCTGAATTTACCTGTCAGATTATATTTGTCATTTTTTTTAACTGTTTTTTCTTGTTTACTGAAACCTGTTACCACATTTTTCCTGACTGCTGAAATATGTGGCTATATCCTGGAATAAACCCCAGGGTCTATAAATATGTTCCAAATTTTTCAAGGTAGTCTCTGACTCATTTTTCTGATTACTGAAATATACATGTTTTCTCTCACTTTTTCCTAGTGTCTGAATATATTATACTTGTAAATCTCATTTCCAAATTACTGAAATATGTTCATTGCCTGTTTCAGGATGATTTAATGACTGGTGAAGATGTTGCCAAATGTCCCAGTTGTTCTCTTCTAATTAAAGTTATATATGATATTGTGAGTTTAATTTTTATATTTTATTTTAAAAGTTGAAGGATTTTTTAACACATATAGATCTACTATGCTTACAAATATTAAAAAGTGGAACTGTGGTTAGTTTATTCATTGGGTGAGGTGGGTTTCCAGCCTAACTGGTGGAGGACATCGTCAGGTGCCCCTCTGTGCATTATTTCAGTAATGAGCAGCACATGAGTAGAAGTTTAAGTAGTAGAACTACCGACATTCAATAGGCTAGCTCGATAGTTTCCTCACTTGGAAGAACCAAAGTCCCTGACAGGAATAACACCTGCAGCGATGAGGGGCAAGTGTTTGTAGTAAAGAACCTTAACCAATTGGCAGTGAAATGAACTTGTTTGTTAACTATAATAAATGAATATTTTGGACTGGATATTCACATAAAGCACATTGAAAGATACTGAAAGAAATAAAATTTGTCTGAGGTACAGCCTTTTAAGTTACAACTTTAAAAATTTTACAAATGTATATACTTAGTATCTGAAAAAGTGAAATGAACTTTTCCATCTTTCAACTTGGACAAAACTGTTCATCACTGAAGGGAAAGTGTCAAAATATTTATGCACTGACTGAATAGCAATGAATGCAGACTAAGATCTGTGCTGTCTGACCTTGGTTTGCACTGGTTGCATGGGTAAAATCTGTTGCTGCTAGCTTTCAAAGGGTTTAAGGTTAAAGTGGCACCTACAATGTACATACTTTTGCATTGTAGGTCAAGGGTCAACAGTCAAGCTCTATAAGTTAAGATGTACCCAATATGCTCCCATGAAAATAAGTTCAGACATGAAAAGGTTGTAGAATAGAAACACTAATTTTCCATACACTAGCTGGTTGGCTTCATTTATAGGTTAAATAAACGTTTCAAGAAACAGTGGTTAAATTATGACTGTTGGGGGTCATTGTCTTCATGCAAAAACTGTAGCCCATTATTCAATCATTATAAAAGATATCAACATGAAACTTAGAAAACTTGCTTATCATGAAAAGATTGGGTTGTTAGACAAGGGGCATAATTCTGAAAGCAAATTTTATTTTGAGTTATGCCCCTTTTTAACTGAAAAATTATTTTACAGACAAGCATTAACACTGCTGTGCTCTCGTTCAATCTTTGTACTTTAAATTCCTACATATTTCATTTTCTAGGATAATCTTGATAGTTCTTGTATTTTTTCCCACTTTTCAGGATGATTTTTTAGAAGGGGAAGAAGTAATTGCTCAGATCAAACCAGCGCTTGAAACTGCATAGTGCTTCATCAAATCTTTCACCAATTTGTAAGTTAACAATGGTTGTATTTATTTGGTTAATTAAGGCAATGTTTTATTCTGATACTTACGTTGTCAGTGGTTGTTACAAATGTAATCATTGATAGAAAAGGTCACATACACTGAACTGTCCAATACAGCACTACAGCATCCAATATGATACCATATTTTATGGTCACGTGGTACAATGAAAAAAGAGCTTTTGGATGTTAATGATTACAATAATATAGAATAAGTATAAGTGTTACACAACTTTATTTATAAAAAAACATTTCTCAAAAGTACATTTTATATATCTTTTCAGAAAGAAATTATCTATCCACCATTTATCCTTGTGTGAACTGTATTGACTCTGAATACATGTATATAAGTATTATAAAACCAGAAACCATCCAACATGGCAGCAAAAAGTGAGAAAATGGACATTACTGACAGTGAGGATGCGGAAAAAGACTTTCTAAAGTCAGTAACCAGTCTAGACGATAGTTTGGACAATTCCATTGACAGTTTACAGGGCAGTCTTACTTTACCAACATTTACAATGGGCCAGTCCGGTGAATTAACTGGAAGTCAAGGATTTCAAATTGTTGGAGATAGGAACTTGACTCTTTCACAGAGAAGTAATGAATCTAGCTCCCAGAGACCAGTGCAAATAGGAATAAATCATTCCAGTGGTTCAGAATCTGGATTTGCATTAATCCAGAGTCATGTGACTTCTGATGTAAGTCATGTGACTCCAACTTTAGGTCATGTGACCACTGGTGTAAATTTGCAAGGCAATACATTGATATTTCAAAGTAGCCAATTAAGTGCTTTAAACATGATGCAAAATGCAAACCAATACCAAATAGTAATACCAAGTGTTACAAAAGACATAAATATAAGCCAGCAGTTGGCAGGAAATGTTGCTAAATGTGATGTTAATGAATTAAGTAATACTGGTGAAGTATTTGAAGCCGTTAACCCCGATGAAAAACCAGGCAGGTGTAAAACTTCTCCAAAACATCGTGGGCGGAAAAGTAGGTCTACATCTTCTACAGGGAATGAAATGGTAATTGATTTGTATGTCATTATTTCTTGAAAAATCGAAGTACTACATGTATTTACAAGCAAGTCTTTACTTTGAGCTATAAGGGCTTTAATGTTTGATCCAAGTCAACCAGTCCTTTGGGCATGTAAGGCTTAAATCTGTAGATATTATATTATTACATTCACATTTTTGATTTGCACTCAGCATTAAAAAGTGATCTGATAATTAAGTTTTCTTGGTTTTAACATTGTACATGTATGTTTGATTCTCCTTGATAATGAATCAGTAATAGCCAGTTTTTTAGCAAGTGACAGACTCCTAATTTCTTATGATTTATGAACCAGCAATGAATGAAAAATGACCATTAGACTCTGTCTCGATGTCTGAAATAAATTGTCACTGAAAAAATTTCACCTTTACTGAGAATAAAACCGACCCCTTGACTGATAATCCAATGCTCTCTCAATTTTAGCTTTGTAAGCAGACTTTGTATTTCCATGTGAGTGAAGCTAAATATATAATATATTATTACAGACAATCAAGTTAGAGGCAGCACCTGGACCTTCACCTTGCCGTATGGATTCCAGTGATTCACTACAACCTGGTGGTGGAGATGTGGGATTCAAACCGTCACTCCTTGATGAAATACTTACTGAAAAGAAACAGGTAATAAAGCTATTCATAGATATTTCAATATTGCAGTCATTATGAACATAAAGTATAATAATAATGAGGATTATATAAAATATATAAATATAAAATAAAGGATTTGCTTTGTTCCTTAATTTCTACCAAATAATGATAGCTTTTTTCTTACAAAAGAGCCCCTGCAATGTTTCTTCTTGGTATGAAAGAAGCTCTGATTTTGTTTGGTATGTCATTCTTGCACCAGCTAAGTTTTTATGCCCCCACAATGTGGGAGCATATAGCGTTGCACTTGTCCGTCTGTCAGTCCGTCAGTCTGTCAGTCCGTCCGTACGTCCCGAAATCTTGTGAACGCAACTCCTCTTAAACCGGATGACAGATTTTGCTAAAACTTACAGGGATGAACAACCTTAATGTGTAGATGGTAGTAAAGGAAGGAATTTTTGCTGCAACCAAATTTAACAGAATTATGGCCCTTTGTTGATTTTTTCACTAGATACTATGTAGAAATTTTGTGAACGCAACTCCTCTTAAACCGGATGGCAGATTTTGCTTAAACTTACAGGGATGAACAACCTTAATGTGTAGATGGTGGTAATGGAAGGAATTTTTGCTGCGACCAAATTTTAGAGAATTATGGCCCTTTGTTGATTTTTTCACTATTTACTATGTAGAAATTTTGTGAACGCAACTCCTCTTAAACTGGATGGCAGATTTTGCTTAAACTTACAGGGATGAGCAACCTTAAGGTGTAGATGGCAGTAAGGGAAGGAATTTTCGCTGGGACCAAATTTTAGAGAATTATGGCCCTTTGTTGATTTTTTCACTATTTACTATGTAGAAATTTTGTAAACGCAACTCCTCTTAAACCGGATGGCAGATTTTGCTTAAATTTCCAGGGATGAGCAACCTTAATGTGTAGATGGCAGTAAAGGAAGGAATTTTTGCTGCAACCAAATTTAACAGAATTATGGCCCTTTGTTGATTTTTAGTTTTCAACTTGTGGCAAATGTAGTCAAAAAAATATTTGACCTAGAGTCATAAGATTGACAGAACAGTGGCGTGTGGGGGCATCCGTGTCCTATGGACACATTTCTAGTTTAAAAGAGAACTCAACTGGTTGTAAAATTGGTCAGTGTGAGCATGTGAACTGATAGGCATGATTTCTTCTGTGTGCAGCTTGTACATGTCTCCAGGGATTTTAACGAAACTTTTAGAGAATGAATGTCATCAAAAACCCTGGCACATATTCTCAGGATTGTTTTTGTTGATCAATTTGGCTGGAAATGATGGTACTTTGAGGTTTTGTTTTGTATATATATGTGCTATGTAATATGGACAGAAAACCTTGTTTTGAGATAATATCCCAAGACTTGTTTTTAACCTTATCTGTAATAATCATGATTTAAGAATGTGACATTGTGTTGTATTACAGGCATTAATGAAGTCACCAGATGTGATCCGCTTCCTTCAAGCTCAACAACAACAACAAACTAGGGAGAAATGTGCTGAACGTTTACAGTCCAAGAACTCTTGATGAAAATACAATTTTAGAGCCCCAAATATGCATTCTGTGAATTATTCATCAACAACATTCCTGTAAAAAGTGCCCCCCTATCAGATTTAATGTACATGTAATATAGATAACCAGTGCAAACATTAATTTTTTGACAAAAACTTGTGAAATCCTAGTGAAGGATCTACTGTGGTCAAGTTGTAAACATCGCTGGCATAGAATCACTTAAAATCCCTACAGGTGTGGTGTTGGTAGTTTTCAATTAGGATCATGACAGTAAGCCACAGCACCGCTCAACAACCGCATCATTCCTGGGCAGGCTGTTAAGCAGTTAACCAGTACTAGTTGCCTTCACTTTCGCAAGGAACTGAAACTTCTGTAAATGCCAGAGCAGAGATACAGTGCGAATGACCGTAGAAAGGATTTCATGATCAATCACAATGAAAGTGACCTGCAACGTCCAGGAATTGAACCCGGGTTGCCCCGATTCACAGTCCAATGGTCTACCTATTGAGCTAACCGGACGGCTGAAATCCCTACAGGGACTGTTTTCTTTTATATAAGGATGCTATCCAGCTTGTTTATGGACAATCAATGGTTTTACATATGCTCACACATATCTGAAATAATGCTGGAAGGACTACTATTAAGTAATGCTAGAAAGTTGCCAGTGTCACTCAACAAAAAAGACTGTAACAATATATAGTCAATAATTAACAGATGATTCATTATCGAATTCGAATCACCGTTTAAAATTTCAATACAATTTAAAACCTATTTCTTCGTGTCTTGTTGGAAAAAATCTTTGTATAATGTTAAAAGAGAAGTCTCTTCTCTCATAGTATTTTTGGCAAGATTGAAACTTAAATTTAGTTTTCAAAGGTCAGTGAGACCTAATAACAAGAAAATACACTTTCTTGTAGTTATGTATGATAATGCTGTATTTGTGAGGACTAAAACTCACAAGTATGTATCACACCATGATGACGGTATATCTCATAATCAAATGTTTGTTAATTTGATGCATCATTATACATTTGTATCTGCAATATTTGGCTTATGGTGATATATGAAAACAAAAGTTTTTCTCAATGACAACCTAGCAAAATTCAAATGGAAGATTTTAATTTGGTAAACATGTTAAAATCTGTGGTAAGGAGGAATTGTTTGTCAACTTTTTGAAGAAAAATAAGTTTACCTATTGTCATGACTGTTTCTTTGGTGTTTGTGTCTATACATTTTTGTTAAGGTCCATTTTCTAAGAAAATGTAAGAGCTATTCCCTTCAAACTTGGTATACATGTTTATTGTCATGAAAAGACACCATTTCAAGATAATCCTAAAATTATTTTTTGCAATGTCAAGCCTCATTCAAATTAGATTTTTTACCCTCATTAATCTTTTTGAGTATAAGGTCTATTTTCTCACAAAACTAGAAAGGCTTTTCACTGCAAAATTGATGATAGGCATGTTTGCAGAGTTATGCCCCCATTTCTATGTTGCTTTTATTGTACTATCCTGCACTGAGAAAAGTGGAGTGTGCTGTCCACAGACAGGGTTTGTTTGTTCCTGTACCTACTTGTGGTAACTGAATCACCCATGCGTCCAGTGCACTGACCCAGATGAGACAGCACAGAGACCAATATGAGCTGGCAGCCTGGCACGTACCATCTAATCATGGTTTGTGCTGTAAACTATTCATTTAAAACATATTTTAAAATTTTTGCCCAAAATATTTGTTTTTTTCCAGATTGAAAGATGGGCAAGTTCATAAGAACTATATCTGTAAGGGTTAATATCAGTGTTGTGATTATTTTTTGTAACACCCTATAAAATTACTATGTTTTTAACACCAAAAGATATGATAAATTTTATTATTGAAAAAGTATTGGAAATAAATGTGAAATGTTGATCATTTAAATTTGTGTTTTATTGCCCTTGTTTGGTAGCGGGTTTAAATTGGTCTCTTGTCCCCAGTTATTTTTCTTCAATGTCTAAAGGAGTTAATAAGAAATATATATACGAGGAGTCACAAGAATGGTTAGTAGGGAAAGCTTCACAACAGTTACTGTTCACTGAATTTTAACCAAGTTGTATCTTGGTCGAAGCCATTGTTTTGAAATTTACAAGAATGCTCAGCAGGCCAAGTTCATTTTGACAAAAGTAATGCCCCCCTTTCTAGATACAAACTGTAATACCAATATTAACTGGTTAGTGTAACAAGCCAGCTTGGTAGGCCACGTTTCACAATCCTTGGAATCAAGGTTACTGATGCTTGCTCATACAGCATTTTATTTATTGACTAAATGTCCGTCATATTTGGTAGGATAGATACCTTGTGTGATCCATTCACATTAGTATAGTTTGGGATCCTTTACTAGTAATCTTTCTTTACCTGGAGAAAATATGTGCCAGCACAATAAATTTTCAGGACTGCTTGAACCAAGAGTGCAGCCACTTCACATCCATCCCATGATAGTGAAGGTATGAATTTGATTCGTCTTATTTTGATTGATATCATGTCATATCCAAGATTACAACAGTCGGACTGTATGCAGGCGCAGAAAAGTCAATTGTCTGTATTACCCAGGTTGTCCCACAGCTTGTAAAGACTTGTCTCAAAAAACCTGAATATGCCTGAAAACTTGCACCCATGAGAATTTACTTTATATCATACGGACATTCAGATAAAATGAACAAGTCAGTCAGATTTTGCTGGCCCTGGTATAGCGTGTTTGTATGTTACAACATTATCTTCATGGTTATTCTAACAACCATATCACGGGAAAGTTAAGTTAGGGGAGTAAGAACAAAAAACTCTTCTTTTATTGAAAGAAAAAACACCTTTATTCCACTTGCATACAAGTTCTTGAATTTTAACAGGAAATCACAAGCGATTTCTCAAAAATAGAATATATGAATACTTGTATATAGAATGACAAAATCCCTTTCTGGTTGAAATATAAAATAAACTATATGATTATATAATGCTGAGATATAGACAGAGAAGTGTACCCTGGCAAGAAATTTACATCCACTACAAACACCAAACGCTCCCTTACAAACATATAAAATCACAAGTTACACAGTTTAATCAATGAACAAAAATTAGAAAGCTTTATGAACAGAGGCTGATCAGTTAATAGATTTTAAATATGGTAAAAATAAAGAGTCGGTCAGTAATACAAATATTTGTTTCAAAAAGCAAACTTAACATAAAAATATTTCACAGGCAAATAAATGAGCTGCAGAAAGAGCCAAGAACAACTGTTACCCGACAACAAACCAGAACAGTGCTAATGTAATTTATCAAACTTATTTTATCAGCCTTGTTACATTACTTGCATCTAAAATCTTTCTTTCACAAAGGTGGATTTAATGGGACTGATAATATATCTTGTATATTTTAATATGTGAACATTATTTTATTCAGTAAAAACTTTGCCTAATTTACCATTACCTGTACATTTTCAAAACCATACAACATTCATCTAAGGATAATGCCATATTTATTTCAAAAATAAGATTTTTTTTTGCCTTGCCTCTGAAATTCTATGCAGATTGCTTTAAGAATTGTATACTATTGCCAAAAAATAACAACAAAAATACCACCAACGTTATTACAAAATAGAAATAGCTGAATTAAATAAAGGCTGGTCAAAAACTGAACCAAGTTCAACCTAAACTTATATCATTTTACATGTTTGTGTATACCAAAGCTTGAATATTCGTAACAAAAACCCTTTGTTTGACAATATCAATAAATCATTTAATAGGTAACAAGTTTGAGCACAGGTTTGAAGTAAAAGTTGTTAACAGAGGTTGTTTCACTACTAATTACTGCCATTTTACAAAATAATCATCTTTAAACAAATAACATTAGAAATGAGATCAATAATTGTAAGTATATCAAAAGTTCCAAAGTTGAACATGATAAAACATGACAATTTAAATACTTGTAGATTGGATTTTCTCCCCCTTATATATAAATTATAAAATGTAGACTATACATAAAGCATCTTAATAATGCAGATATGTTTTCTGGAAGGGGGATATTTTGCTAGCAAAATAATAAGATAAAAAGAAAATCTGCATAAAAATAAAAACATAAAAAGTATCAAATGAATTGCTTTTTTTTCTAGGTTTACATCTGAATATAATATTGAGGAGAATGATTCATAATCTTATTTATATATTAAATTAGACACCAATACTTAGATTTTTTGCAGGTAGGTGTTAACCTTTGTTCAAACTCCTTGTAAATGAAAAAAAAATATAGAAAAATTTAAATGTAGAATTACAATTTTATATCTATTGTGTTTAGACAGAAATAGCCCTTAGATAAATACTGATTTTCAAAACAGGAGAATAAAATCTCATAAAACAATGGGAAAAAAGGGGTCATGGTAGTGTTGTCCACACAAATACACTCATAGCTTGCTCTCACACACATTTTCTTACCTCTTACAAACACATGTATTATGCAAAATAAGAAGTTCTTTAAACAAAACCAACTAGAACACAGTGCAATAATCATTAATTGTAAAATGTAAAACTATGCAAACACAAAACACTTTTTTTTATTTTTTTCTTAACTAGCAAAACAGTCCTCTTTTTCACGAAAAAAATTAAAATAAAACATGTGTATAAAGGATAACAATCCCCAAAGACTAAAGAAAATACAGATTACAAAAAGAGCCATTTCTTCAACACTACAATATTACAGGAAAAATAAATCAATCAATATGGCACTCTCAAGTAACTAAACTAGTTTTAATTTTTAGTATGAAATAAATTAAATCTCTTTCGTAAAAAAAGGTTTAATATCAATAATGGATCATTCAAACGCCTGAAAAAAATATACATCTAGTTTAAACCTGCAGATGTGACGATTTTCATTTCATTCTTAACTAGCATGTTAAGCTGTTTAATAAGCTTTACACTTTCTTATCTTATATAGCTTCCATTTTTGGAACTGCCCATCATCATTTAGAATTTTTCAGGACAAGTCAGTCAGCCAATGGTGTAGAGCCTAATCATTTTCTAGTTCTAGCACGGCAGAGGTAAATAAATATTTTTTTGTTTGGCCATGAATTATTTTGTGTTTGCTATAAATTTGGAAATCATAAAATTAATGTAAAACACAGTATCATTATTAATCAATACCTTTTTTGTAAACAGTTTCTTCTAACCCTCTTTATAACAACCATTTTATGGAAAG